AATAGATGATAATATTACTGAACTGTTCACTGATTGAAAAATAGTAATAAAAATGGAGGGGTCATGCTCTGGATGATGATTTTGTAATTATCTTCATGTAAGTGATAGTTGAGGAGCCCTCGTGGCTCAGTGGTTAAGAGCTCAGCTGATAACTGAAAGGTCAGCAATTAAAACCCACCAGCCGCTCCAAGAGAGAAAGATGTGGCAGTCTGCTTTTGTAAAGATATACAGCCTTGGAAATCCTATGGGGCAGTTCTACTCTGTTCTGTAGGGTTGCTATGAGTCAGAACTGACTCGATGGCAACAAGTTCAAGTGATAGCTGGAATTGTGTCTAAGGATGAGATCTATGAGTTAACTGTTCTACGTGGTAAATATTTAAATATGATGTTATGCAAACAAATCAAATTCCGTATGCCCAAAGTTCAATTTATTTTCCCACCAAATATGCTTTCCCCTATCCCCAGGATTCCTAGTCTTGGTTAATGGCATTACCATTCTCTGTCACTCAAGGAAGGCATTTTGGGGTTGTTGTTGTGCTCCCTTCTTTACTCTTACCTAGTTGATGTTTACACAGGTAGTCCCTGCCTTAGGACGGGGTTCTGTTCCATGACTCTGTCTTAAGTCGGTTCTGACGTAGGTTGAATACCCCCTCTGCTTTTTTTTTTTTTTTAAATCATTATTGCCTTTTATTATTACTATCTTTATAAATCCAATCTTTGTCTTCGGGGGTTGGAAACATTACATATAAACTTAGAGATATATTTTAATACATACATAGAAAAATACACAAATCATAGAAATGTACTCCAGTGATGAAGAAGAGTTGGATGACGCTGGCTTCTTGGCAGTTGCGGCAGGAGCTCCACTGGTGGATCACCCCGGGTTTGGGGTGGTGGCTCTGGTCAGACAGTCCGACTGCCCAGTGTAATCCTTTCCTTTTCTTTGTCATGTATTTTGTGGTGACATTTCACTGCTTCCTGAATCCGCCTGTGGACTTCAGCAGACCATCAGTGTTTGGGGCCATGTTTGCAAGCACCTGAAGCCCCTGCTGTAGTTTAGTAAAAACATCAGCTCACTCTTCTACTGTCAGTTTTTTTCACAGCTTCTCTCCTTCCTCTTCCTCATTATTTCTTCTTCAGCATTTCTTTCCTCTTCAGAATCTATTAAGTCCTGATCTGTCGGTTTCCCTTCTTCGTGATCTATGAGCTTTTCCCCATCAGCAATATCAGATGACACGCTGTCACACTGTGTGCAGTAGGTGTTACTAACGGTAAGATATACCTAAAAACAGAAGCAGAAGGTCATAAGAAGTTTGTCGTGACTCGAATACGTCGTAAATTGTTGGCTACCTGTATCATATAAAACCACACACACAAGATGTCTCCCCCTAAACCGTCTCGTCTGCATTAACTGCTGCTGCTTTAGAGGAGACAGTCATTGACCCTGTCGTAAGTGCTCTCCCTGACTGGAGCCTGTCCTCCGTCAATAGCAGCCTTTCTCTTTCTGATGCACGAATCTGATGATACTTTCCAGTTATCTTTAGGATAAAGTTGTTAGCATGAACACTTTAGCATGGCAGTCAAGACCTTCCCTGAAAGGGCCCTTGCTGTCTGTGCACTTTGTCTTCCATACTGCCCTGTTGTGCTCCGCATTCCAGTGATACGTTTGCTCCTGAATCCTCATCTCCTCGCTAATTACTTGCCTTTGCTCTTCCTGGAATCCACTTTCCCTGCTTTGCTAATTCCTCCTCTTCCTTTAAAATCAAGTTCACTCTAACATCCTCACTGTACTTTCCTCGTTCCCCTTCATAGCAGCTCATTCCTTTGTAACACCACTACACCTTACACGTCTCTTTTCTGACGGTTTTCACAATTTTGCAAACATTTGTTTCAGTACGTTTCCTTGACAGTGAACTCGAAGGGAGGGGCCGTGTCTGTTTTCTTTTTTTTGACTTTGGACAGGAACACAGCACAGTACCTCACGTATGCACATTCGGTACATGTTTAGCTCAGGCACCCTTTTTTGCACGTAGTATCTGTTAGCACTTCTCAGAACAAACGCAAATAGTGCACTAGATGTTTTACAGTTATTTCAGAGTCTGATGATAACTATCTTAAATTCAGTCCTGAATGTCTTAAGTGGGAACGTCTTGAGAACTGGTTGACTTTTACTTCTGGCTTCTTGTACAACCTCTCTAGGTTTTTTTTTTTTTTTTTTGTATACTTACAAATCTTCTTAAATTGAAGATTACATTTTAAAAATCAACATTTAAAATTTTTGGTTTTCAAATGTTATTGGAAAGAAAGAATGTGGCCTAGCTGAAATGAACCTGGACATTTTTTCCCTTGTGCACCCCCTCCTTGGTATGTTTATAATATGAATGAAACTTCAGATGAAGACTAATATAATTGAACCAGTATATTCATTTTATGTCTAGCCTTGGATTTGGTCATGTGATCTTCAGAAAAATGCAAGTAGATCCATTTCTTCCGTTGTAGGCTTTAGAGGGAAAGGATTGTCCTTAGAAATACATCGGAAAGATCTATTTCAGCGAGTTTCCATAGAATAGAAAAATTGCTAATTTGCAGTCATGATCTCTAAATATTTGTTGTTGAGATAGATAGTTCACCAATCCTGTTCTCTTTGCATTAAACTCTTAAATAGTATTTGTTTTCAATGCTACACTACATTTTCTATAAAAAGCTACTGTGCAACATTCATCTGTAAAGTGGCATTACCTAAAGGCAGGTCATTGGCTCAGAACTTTGAGCTTAGCAGATTTCACTGTCTTCTACCAAACAGTTGAGTTTCTCAAATGATGACTATTTCAGCAGGCATCTGTAATGAATAAAAATTACGGGTAAGAATTTTCTTTTTTGTTCCAAAAGTGTTGATGATGTGTTAGTTGTATAAAAATTTATTCATCATAAGGTATGCTTTTATATATATAAAAATTTAATGTACATTTTACTGATGAATTTAGAACTTGATGAAATTTTATATAGTGTGCTTTTCTAAATTTTTTAAAATGTATTTTTGTAAATATCTTAGTTATTACAGTTCTGTCCCTTAAAGGGAATACCGTACCGTGAAAGCCACAAAACAAGAGTGGGATCGTTGCTCTTAATAATGCAGCATTCTCACTTCCCAGGGTGTCAGCCAGTAAAATGAAGAACACCACCCTCTGGCACAAACCTCCACTGCGGAGGTATAAGAGGGCTGAAATGTGAATAAAATACTCAGTTTCCCCAGTTAGAAAACCAGCAACTCTAGTTAACACATGTCTAATGTTTTCCTTTTAATTCCTGCAGCAGATTTAATTTATTAGAACAGCCATATGTGAAAATGATTAACTTGGTAATATTTCTGTTGTAATAATGTAAGTTCTTACCTTGATAACAATTTTAACAGTAAGCTGAAAAGGAAAAAAGCCTTTTATAAAATACTTTAAAAAATGTGTCGCCAGTTTATTTCACTCAGTTTTTTCAACTAAGTGTAAAATTATTAAATACTTAAAAATAAAAATTAATTGTAATACATAAATTTATTTCTAAACTTCATTAATCCAGTGTCTGTCTACCTTTTGTTTCTTTAGTCTAATTTTCATACATTTCTTGCTATTTTATGTATATTATTCTCCACACTATTATTATTTTCCCATGTAAATCATTAAAGTGGTGAATTTGCACTATGCACTTGATTTTTTTTATCTTTGTGAATATTGTTCATGATTAAATTCCTGAGAGTATTACCAAATTACCCCCAAAATGGTTGACATTTGTGTATATTTTTCAAATTTTGTACAAGTGTTATTCATTTTAGTTGTTCAGTAAATTTTTGTAATATACTACCAATATTGTGGTTTTCCTAAAAAAAGTACATGATCTATTCTTTGTTTGCAATTTTGTTATAATAACTAAAATATAGATAAGCAATTTTACATAGTTAAATTATTATTAATATGAAGTAAATCATTAGCATTTAAAAACCTAATCTTTTAAGTGTACCCTCAAAGAATGGGTAAAGGAGGGGGGCGTTTGCCAACTCCAGTTTTCATTGACTAACCAGGAGAGTAGCTTTTAGGATGGTTGACATTTCTGCCCTATTACATGTCTCCATTTTTCCTCCATAAAATTTAAGTCAGTGTATTTGTTGCTTATGTTAAATACATTATTTCTTAGATATAGCTATTAAGCCTTCATAAGACTATGAATCCCTTAAGTCTTGATTAATGGCATTTCACATCAGGTAACCTACTTATGCAAATTAAAATTAAGTTTAATATATAGTAACAAATAAGATTTAGTCAGCAGCAGTTTCTAAAACAAAAATACTTTGTAAAAGCTAGGTTTTATATTAAAATCAATTATTTTATAATATTTCCCAGATGACCTATACCTTTGTTATATAAATTAGGTATAATCAGTATTTTTCAGATATTGCAAAGTTTTAAAAATTCGTAGTTAATATTTGAGCTATGCTTATGAAGGTTTGTAAGAGAATATATCCTTCAAAATTTTAAATCATTTCTGTGACTTTACTGCTTCTAGAGTAAGTAAATTATAATATTTATTGAAGTGGCATTATCGTATTGAATTTCAAAATAGATAGCCCTGTAATAGTAAATACTGATGCACGTTATATAAATAAGCCTATTAACCTGGTTTTAATTTTTAAAGAGTAACAAGTTCTTTTTCTGAAACTGTTTTACTGATGTGTCGTGTCTTTTATTTTAAATTGTATGTATCAGAGAAAATATTTCTTACGTGCTCTTGCTTAGAGAAGAAGGAAATAGTTGTTAAGTTTTACATCTGTATTCATTTATTTAGTACGTTTATTGACTCTATTGTTTATTCCTATACATTTTATTTTTTACCTTAAAATATTTACAGAGGTCGTGCTATCATAGTATAAAATGTACACTAGTCTAGATTTATATTTTAATTATTTTAAGCATATAAAAAAACTTTAATTTGTCAATATTTATTTTGTTTTCAAGATTAAAAAATGAAACTCCCACTGTGGAACAAGAACCTGTGTCAGAGGTAAATTTTTATTTTACTTCATACCTTAAAGGTTTATACATTTGACAGTATTGTTAGGTGTAATTTTTCAAATGTTTAAATTTCAATATGCATACATTAATAATCATTGGCATGTTACCAGGAAGAAAAAAATTGAGATTTTTGTTTTTTATTTTCATTAGATATAGAGATATCTAACCCTAAGTAAAATTGTAAGGTGTTTTAGTGTTGACAAAAGCATCGCATATTTCACTTGCCTGTTATTTAGTTCAACTAGTTAGTAATGGAGATAAAGTTATGATGTAAACATCCCAAAATCAATAAAACTTCAGTCACTTAGCACATTGGGAAATTTATCTTTCCAGATGACTTAATCTTCTGGAGCAAATAAACCGTCAAAGATTTAAACTGATTTTTAAAATGGAAATACTTTGAACAAATAGAATATGTTCCAGCTGTCTTAAACAAGTACTCTGAATGTAAGACTCAGGATTAACCAATGTTATCTACTGGACAGTCTAATAGATGTATGTATAAACAGTTTTGCTCAAGTACTTTCTTGATGTCAGTTTATTTTGATACAACTTAATATTACCTGCCTCTCTCTGAGTATAGTGAAGTGAGGCAGGTTCAGCACGACTTTATTTTTGAGCAGCGTTTCTGTCTTGTACAGCGAAACCTAGGCAGAACTAGCAGTTTCCTCTCAAGTGACTTCCTTTATACCACAGAAAATTTTCTTCTAAGTACAAATAGATTTCTTTAATAGTTATAGGATTTTTTGGTTATTGGGATTTTCTTGAGTTGAGCTTCAATAGTTTGTGGTTTTCAAGGAATTAATACAGTTCAGCTAAGTTGTCTAATTTATCTGTATAGAGTTGTTTGTATGATTTCATTATCCTTTTAATATCTGTGGGCTCTGTAGTGATACCCCCCCTTTCTTTCCTGATAGTGGTAATTTGTTTTTTTTCTATCGTTGTCATATGTTTTCCTATATATGTTTTTATAAAACATATTGTTATTATTTTGCTTTGATAGTTACCTTCTAGAGCAGCAGGTTTGGTTTTTTGTTGGTTTTTTAGTCTGCAGTTGACCTGCATTTTGGTTTTGTTGTTGCTATAGTTACCTTCCCTATACTACCAGCGTCAAAGTCCTCTAGCATTTCCTTATGCTTAGGGTGGAGTCCCTGGCTAGCACAAAAGGACTAGTAGCAGGAAGGTTGGAGGTTGAAACCCACCCCAAGGCTTCTGGGAAGACAGGCCTGGCAGTCTGCTTCCGAAAGGCACAGACTTGAAAACCCTATGAAGCAGTTCTACTCTGCACACATGGGGTTGCCATGAGCTGGAATCGTCTAGACAGGCTTGTTTGTTGGAGCGTTTTTCTTCATGTTCTTGCTCCACATTCAGCCTTAGGCTTTCTCTGTGAGACTCCCGGCAGAACTTGTCATTTGATGCTGGTAGCCCAGTGGTGGGGAGTAGGGGGGTGGGGAGTGTGCCGAGGTTCTCTGTTGTTCTGGTTTAGTCTCAATCTTAAACTGGCTCTGTGGTCCTGGGTTTGGGAGCAGGATTTTTACTTCTCCCGTTCCCCACCCACAGGGGTCCCTGTGCCCTGGAGGTAACAGGGTTTGCTTCTCCTCCTCCTAAATCTGTAAAGTATGAACATGAAGGAAATTTATGAATCCATAACTTCGTAACATTACCTGTTGAATCTTTCCTGATGCGTTCTTACTTGACTAGAATAAATCATCAAGCTTTTCTTTTCCTTCGATTGCTCTTCCCCATGTGCATCAAGAGAAACAAGCTTTTTAGTACATAAACCAAATATGACATCTAGAAAGACAAGTGGTATAATGTTCAGAAAAGAAATGTGAGCTGATATGGCTCAGACTTATAGGGGACAGTTACAGGTTTGGCTAGGAAAACATAGCATTTCAGCTACTGAAAATAATCAAGTCTCTAACACTGACATTGTTAGAACATATTTACTGTGAAATTCAGAGTTAAATAAAGAATTTTCTTTGAAATATAAGAAAAAAATAAAAGGAAATGTTCGAAATTTCCAAAACTAGTAAACAAAAGTGTGAGCAGAGATAAGAAAATACCATTTGAAATAAATTTTAATAATATTTCATTGTGGCCACCTATTTCTGGTAAAATGATTTTAATAGAGCATTTATCCGTCCAAGGACAAGATATAAATTTTAGAGAATCTGTCTCACATGATGGTCAAAGATTTTTTTTTTTAATGTGCTTTAGATGAAAGTTTACAGTGCAAATTAGTTTCTCACTCAAAAACTTATACACAAATTGTTTTGTGACATTGGTTGCAGTCTGGCCAAAGATTTTTAACAGACAATTCTTGTAGATAATGTTCTAGTGGTGAGTTGATTCATTGTGACTGGCTTATTTATTCCAAAGAAGCCTTTGTTTTCCACGCATACTTTCTAGCAGTAATACAACAGAATCAAATATTAGCAACTAAAAAAACAAAATTGTTTTTAAAAATTGGAAGATTTTAAACAGAATTTGTGATCACAAAAATTCCATGTTTCATCATGTTGCTTTTTAAAAGTGGAAGTGTTTATAAAAGTAAATTCAAACCGATAGCTTTATAGTTGATGCTTTGCAGAAGGTAATAAAGTAAAAGAAACAAAAACGGTGGAATTTGCACAAGTGATTTTAGATGTTGGTGTATTTTTGTGCCAAATAATTTTCCTCTTAGAAGATCGCAAGAAATTATTGGAAGTCCAAATACTAGAATGTTTCTAAATAAGTTGGACTTGTAGGAGATTATAATCATATGACTGATCATAAAAATGAATCCATCATATATGTCTAATAAAATTCAAAACAGATTTATAATCCTATTAGCAAATCACGTTATAACTGAAATATGATTGAGAATAGAAGTACTTTGCTTTACATTTTGATTGAACACTAGATGTAGTCCATCATGAGGAAATATGTCACATTATTAGATGTATTTACATTATGAATAATGAGAAAACGAGAAGAAAGTTTTATTGACTTGATTGACACATAAAAGACTGGAGAATTAACATCTCAATAAAGCTGTTATTAAACAAAGAAAAAACTGGATATGCTCTAACTTACAAAATTATTAGTAAGTAGGAAAGAAATTATCTTTAACATTTAAAAATGCTCTTGGCCAGGGATATAATAATGGAGCAAATACAACGGATGTATACAAAGATGTACAAGTCATTATTTCCAAAAATGATAATGTCCGATTTGTACCTTCTGAGACCATAAACTTAGTTTGATATGCAAAAATGCTGCTTCTGTGGATTCAAAGATGGTAATATTTTTTGTGTTGTACAAAGGAGATATATATATATATATATACACACACATATATATGTGAGAATTCAGTGAGCAGCTGTGATGTTCTCGCCTGTTCTAAAAATCACATTAAAAACACATACAAATAGCTGATGGGCATAAGATCAAATGCAGTCAAGTACTTTGTACACAAAGATATCCATCCAGTATTAAAAGATATACGATCAAATGACAGAATAAATTATTCTGAAATCAAAAGTATGTCAGTGCAAATAGATTACAAATTTGTATGCAAATTACCTGTACCAAGTGGAAAAAGTTAATAAAGCTCTGCAGTCAGAAAACATGACTATATATAAAGCTGCATGCTTAGTAAAAAACCTCTCTCTTAGAACAAATAAGAGAAAGTAATTTTGGAAGTATGTTTGAATGTAAAACTTCTAGCAAGAAATATGAATATTCTTCCCAAATCTGAACATAAGTGAAAAAGAAAAGAAATTGGATATGTATGAATCATTGGGTGAAAGTATCGATAAGTATGGGAAAGTGTTTTTCGAATAGAAATTAAGATTATAAATGCCCGAACTTCATATTTGAAAAGGAGATATGAAAAATTAAACACGATGTCTTCAGATTTTGAATTTTAAAACCAGAGAAAAGTTATTTTTATAAATACATGTAATTTTCAAAAAACAGCCACTGACTTGGCTCTTAAATATTCTGACAGTTTAAGTTCTACAGAAATTTTAAGTGAATTAGTTTAAAACAGCACACAGTATCAGTAATTTGTACTAGAAAATCAGCGTTGTGTTTAGACCCTCTCAAGTGGGTTCATAAAGTTTGCCTGGTGCAGTCTTACCCAAGTGATCTTGAGAATTGTAAACGATCCCACCCGCAGTGTCGTTAGTTTCACTAAGCTGAAGTTAATGTTAAACTGTTCAGGATTGTCACTTGGTCAAGAGAAGTGGTCAAACATGACAGTTCTCTCAACTGAAAAGAAATAAGAAAGGAAATAGATTTTGAAAACATTATTGATGAGTTTGATTCCATTGAAGTCAGGAAAGTATAATGTTAATAAATTCTGGTTTTGATATAGATAAATAAAACATTTATAGTGTCGTGATACTACACCTGCTTTTCAATTTTTGCCGTATTTTTTCAACTACTTGAATGTTCTGGAAAAAATGTTTTTAAATACATTAAAACGTGTACACAGGGTGCTGCATTTTTTCCTTTGCCTTTGGGTCCAGTATGTCTTAGCACAGTCCTGATCCCGGCATAATTGCCTCGCAGTAGTTGGAGAAATCGTGATCGGTGACTGTTACATATGCTGAACCAGGAAGTATATTATGCTTTGTTTTCTTTTCCTTTCCTATACCTCATTTTATTTTTCTGTAGTTAAAAGATGTCTTTTTAATTCATTTGTTTAGTTTTCTCTGCACCTGTTTTTTCAAACTGTTGCAGTTTATCTGTCTGATGTTTGGAATTTGTTTTCCACATACTCATACACATCAGAAGCAATTTGTTGGGAATCTGCAGCGCTCCTTTCAGACCCCCTTGCTTCAGTTCAGACTAGTTGGTTTCAAAACCTGCTGCATAGTTGGTGCTGTCCGGACTTTCCTTTACACCCTCCTGTGTTGCGTGTCCGATTTCCTGAGCCATGAGTTTCTCTTTTCTCGGTTTTTTTCTTCATTTTAAAGAAACACGTTCTCTCATAGCTTCCTCAGAAAGGGTTCATCTTTTTTTCAGTCCTTACGTGCCTAAAACTATATTTACTTGAGTGATAGTTTGGCTGATGTACATAGAAAACAATTTTCCCACATGGTTTTGAAAATACTGTTTATCTTCTTACATCCAGTATTGCTTTTGATAAATTTGATGCCATTCTTGTCGCTGTTGGTTTATATTTGTTATTTTATTCTTTTTGGAAAATTTTAGTTATTTCACTCGTGTTTTGAAATTTCTTGGTGATGTACCTCATTCATTATGGTAGGCATTCAGCAGACCTTTTCAATCTGGAGGTTTCTGTTTGGGCAAGTTTTCTTGCATTATTTCTTTGATAAATTTTCACTTTTCTCTGGTTTCTTTGTTTTGTTTTTGTAAACTCCTGTTGCTCTGACACTGGACCTCACTGCTCGAATTCTCTGGTGTTTTCTTTCTTGCGTTATTTCTTTGATAAATGTTCACTTTTCTCTGGTTTCTGTGTTTTGTTTTTGTAAACTACTGTTGCTCTGACACTGGACCTCACTGCTCGAATTCTCTGGTGTTTTCTTTCTTGCATTCCATCCTTTTGTCTCTTTGCTTCCTTTTTTAAAAGATTGCTAACCATAATTATTTATTTCAGTTGCCATACTTGTAATTTTGAAGATCTCTTCACTTTTTGTTTTGCTCTTCAATTCTGTTTTCTCAGTTCTTTGTTCTTGTTTTAATGAATGCAGTAGCGTCTTGTGCTGTCTGGAGGCAGTGGTGGCGGGGCCTGTGAGAGGAGATTCCTTTGTTCCCAGCATCGTCGTTGATTCTGTCTAAGCCCCTTTTTCTCTTTTTTGTTTATTCTGGTCTTTCACAGAAGGAGATGTCTTCAGTTGTGTGCTGTTCCTTGGCTGCCCGTACATAAAGAGCGAGGCCCTGAAAAGTTCATTGAAAACCTGTGTGTTTGGATGGAACAGGGCTGCCTTGCGTAGCTGTACAGGTTGTGCACTGAACAACTCCAGAGGGCACTGTTTACATATACACCTTTGTACTTTAAGAAGTTATCAGTGTTTACCATGTGAGAGAGATTAAAGTTGTGGAATTTAAAAACTAGGAATTTACTGAAAAATAAACCTATTATATGTTATCATAAATGACTTTTTTTTTTCTGAAAAATAACCCTTTCCCAAAACAAAATAAATTTAGTAGGAGAGTGGTATTGTTTTAGCTTTTGCATATCTCTTTAATATCTTAGTTTAAAAGAAGAAAACTGGATTTTCATTATCTGGTTCTACATTAGGCCTGTTGTGATATGTTGTTTTGGTTGAAATACACAGAATACCCAGCCTCACCCAGTGCTTAAATAGCCCTTTCAGATAATTGTGAATATTCTTCTTTGATACTACGCAAAACTAGATGAATGTTTGTTTTCTCAGAGGCCTGTTTCAATGTGGAATATGACTCCGTATCACTGAACATTTCATACTCTGTTACAGTAAAAGCTTTTGGTCTATCTTACAGTTTAAATGAACCTTTTATCCAGGTATGATTTTGTAACATCATGCACTGGTATTTGGAAAACTTTGGTTCACTGAGTTATGTAGATCTTCCAAATGGTGACACATTTCATTATACCAAACCACACAGTTAGGCTCATTAATGTCAGCACTAAGCTCATTAGAAAGCTCTTTAAGTATTGGAAAGCTTGGAACCTCACGGTGGAACAGGTTTTCCCAGAGTTTAATTTTTGCTTGAATTTTATTACTGGCATGGAATACTGTCAGTTGTTTCCCTTAAAGTGACTGGTACACTTCTGTTAATTTCCAAGAATAGTCTACCAAGTACCCAAGTCTGAATATCCGTAGTTTGACAGCTATTCTTTAAAATAAAAAATGATGTTCCATGAAAAAAAGCGGTTAAGTCAGCTCGCAACTCAGTCACCCACCCTTCAATATGCCACAGGAGTGCTTTACGCATACTCCCTGTTTCACACCTGTTTCCTATCAAAAGACATGAACTCGAGGATTGAGATTTAATAAAATTAATTTTCCTGCTTGCATGTAGTGGTGCAGAATACCGTGAATACCAGTATAGTGTGCCTTTATTCATGCCGAGGGACAGCATTTTATCACCGTTGCTCCTGCACCAGTAGCTTTGACCCTGCGTGCCTCCCGAAGTGTCTCGGGCCCCTGGTGTCTGTGAGGCACTGCGTGAGGACTGCTGACGTGGACGGTCCGGGGAAGGTTGTTCCCTGCGTTTGTGCTCTGTACAGCCCGCACAGTCTGCAGGGGACTTGTTCAGGCTTAATGGAGGAGAGTGAGGTGCTGAGGTGACTGCCTGTGGAGGGTTCCCCTCAAAGTCATTATCAGAAGTCTTTTGGGGCTGATAGTTTTCTCCAAAGAGGAGCCGTCCAGACTGCAGCTGGGGGTGGTGCAGTGGGGGCTGGTTCCTCTGGTCGCTGGCATTCTGGGAGCCCAGTAGGGGGGTCTCGTGAGTCCCTCCATTCAGGATAGGAACTTTTACTAAGTCTTTGTTTTCTCTCAGTGCTTCACCCTGCACTTTCCTGTTCTGATCTTCTCAAGTCTAGACCTTTTCCAGTTCAAAGGGTTAACCTTTAGCCACTATGGTAGGAGAAAGGATAGGGTCAGTGGTGGTATGAGTTGGGGGAAGGAGTTTATTTAGATTTCCCCGGCAGTCCCTTTGCTTCCTTTTTACCTTTTATGGACTGAGTATTGTCCTGGGTCCTTCCACGCACAGGTCTCTTAGGTTCTCTGGGCATACTGGCTCTCTTCTCGCACTCCCCTACTGCAGACATTGCATTTTTACTTCCTTTACACTGCTGAATCTAGCACCACTCCCCCACCTCTCTCTCTCTTCCAGGTTTTGTCGAAGTCTCTTTGGCTCAGTATGCTGTGGTATCTTGGTCTTCATGAATGAAAGTCTCTTATTCCTTTGTCTTCATTTTAGCGGAGTGAGGAGATAAATATGTACGATTAACATGCCATTGTCCATTTCACATGCTTGAGGCAATCTACTGTAGTGGCTAAGAACGCGGCCTGGATTTGGATATTTAGTCCACCTCTTACTGGAGTGCCTCATCTCATAAAATCATAATTTTTTAGAATATCTGATACGAGGAGTGAATGAGATAGTTAAAGTCGGGTTCTCAACATGCTAGCTCACCTGTCATACGTGTCCAACAGTTGGTATGAACTGGGTCATTGGCATTCCGCTTACTGAGGTTTTACGGTATTTTTCCCTCTATAAAACATTTGCAAAAGCAAAATACTTAATTTGTCTATAGCTTAATATTACTTGGGTTTGACAGTGGAAGTGTTACCATGATTCCACATGTTGAATCATAATTTCAGAGGTGTTTTATGTGTCTGTACTTGATATGTTTATGTAAAACAGATCTTGTTATTCAAATTCAGGTTGTGTTAAACTAGTTTTACTAGTTTTCTATTCTATTCAACTATTATGGGCCATACTTGAAAGATAAGCTAAGAAATGTAGATATCGAAGTAGCTGAATGATTGCTCTTGATCTCCGTTCCGACTTGTTTGGTGCACTGGAATCTGTACAGGTTTTTCAAAAAGAATTCTTAAAATCCTGAGTGATGAGGATCGTTCTGGCACACACTGTAGATTGTGAAATGGTTTTTCCATTTGTTTTGTATATGAGGTTGCATACTTAAGGCCTTTTATCCAGAAGGTTCAGTATAATAAAAGCTGTTTTCTCTAGGCTTAGCCATGAATGTAAATGAAAAGTATTTTTAATCATTTCAGGACATTTCAAGACCTAATGTGGCTGAAGGAGAAACAGAAACATCAAAGTCTGAATGGTAAATCTAAGGAACAACTGAATCTCTTGAAATTCAAGTATATAAAATAACTTGAGCTGTGTTATTTCACAGGCAGTTGGCAAAGGGGTACTTAAATGTTTCCATATATTATTGCTTGTAATAATGGCTTTTCATTAAAAATTTGAATTTTTAATTTAACAAAAATGTACTCTGGATCCTTAGTTTTTTACTATTTTAGACATGTAGAGTATATTTTTTGGTAATTTTAAAAAAAATTTACTTACTAGTAAGTAAAATGTTAACAGATTTTAGTTGCCCTTATGAAATGAAAACAGTTACAAGATGCATCAATGAAACAATTATTGCAAATAGGTAATCTTAACGTCTTTTTTTAAGTTTCTTCAAAAAGCTATAGAGCTAGTTCTGACGTGGGATCTCAACATAAAAGTTTCAGAATTAAGGGACTGATTTTTAAAAATGTAATCCTCAAATAGAACGCTAAGGAACACAAGACACTTCATAATCCCCTTTAGCAAAAGAGAATCCCAGCCTTTCAACTAGAACTTTATTCTAGATAAAGATACTTTTATTTTGTCTTTTAAGTGATTTCTCCCTCTTCTGTCTTCATGCTGTGTGTTTTCAAGTAGATTGCTTTTTAATCTGTTGAGATTAATAATCTATTGCACTTAAAAAGCAAGTCCTGGAATAAGGCCTTATGATGTGTTTCTCAGACTTTCCTAATAAAGCTATCTAGCCCTTTCTCTACCAAGCTCTTTTTTCTCCTGGGGGAAAAAATTAATGAAAATTCAACCAAGGAATTAAAAAAGCAGTCTGGTCCCCTTTATATTATTTAACATTTTCTGTAAGTTGTAGTTAGTCCAATAAGTCTTAACAAAAATAAGAATTACAATTTTAAAAGGAAGAGGAAAAATATTATAATTTTTTGCACATAACTTCATAATTGACCTGTAAGATTCAAGAAAAATGAGTTAAAATGATTAGAATTAATAAAAGTATTAATTAAGGTAGCATGGTATAAAAATGTGAACCTTTCCTATATACAAATAATATATAATTACAAAATATAATGGATAAAATATTCACAATAGTAACAAACATGAGAAATGTACAGGATCTAAATGAAGAAAAGCCAAAATGTACTAAGATATAAAATAGTATATTGATAACTTGAATGATAGGCTTTTTTCCAAATCAGTTTATGGGTTTAATGACTGTTTAGTTCAAAATCCTAATGAGATTTGGTTTGGAAGCTGAAACTTAAAATAAGGTTCTTGTTTTTCCCCTTATTAACACCATAACTCATTTACTCATTGTTCTGTTGTTGACTGCCGGGTCATCTCCGTAGTCGCTGTTTGAAACATGACGTTAACGAGCATCCTTGTACAGTATCTTTCACATTTTTAAACTGCTGAGTTTATGGGGAAGAATAGGAGAATGTGGGTGATTTGCTTTACTAGACAATAAAGTACAATGTTCATCTATAATTGTTAAGATTGTGTGGTATAGTCTAAAAACAGGTCAGTAGAACAAAATAAATAGCAGAGAAATGACCTTATAAATACAATAAAAAATTATATGTGATCATTTGATAATGTTGCTAAGATATGTGGGTTATCTATTGGAGAAAAGTCTAAATTCCAAATGTATGAAATATAAGAAATAAGGTATATGTAATGGTTAAATTTATTTTTGGCAATATAAGCATCCTAAATCTAGATAAGGGGCTGGAGATCCTCTTAGAAATCTGTTTCTAATGTTTTATGATTCAGGAAATAGTTTCTGTTAACATGTGTACACATACCCCCACACATAAATATGTGTATGTGTATATTTACATATATTTTTCAGGCATGTATGTTTTTATCATTTTTAAAAATTAGGCTGTTGTTCACTTAAAACACAATAAAAAAAATTAGGCTGTTAATAACTTGGGAAGTGTTTGTGAAATGTATAACAAAGGACAGTCTAAGCGTAAAAGCAATGTATAAATCATAAAATAAAAATAGGTTATTTCCAAGTATATTCCTTATATAAAGGACTCTTAAAGATTAGTAGGAACACCAATGTTTCAACAACAGACAAGATACATAAGTAGATGAAAACGGTGACAACCAGGACTGACCCAGTCAGTCAGTAGACTCCCCGGATCTCCTTTTCATATTTGACTCTGTGGAGTTTCTCACTGTGTTGGGTAAGAAAGTGCCTCCTCTTCAGTTACAATGACATCATGGGAAGGACTGTGGATCTGGATTTTTTTTTTTCCTTTTTTGGTAGGCAAGTGTACCTTGACATTTTTTACTTTTTAGAGCAAGCCTTTTGATTGTGTTCAAATTCATATATTAAGAATGAATAGATAACAAATGGCTTTATTTTTTCAGTAAACAAGATAAAGCTTCATCAGAAGAAGAAAAAAATGGATGTGATGCAAGTTCATTTGAAGGCTCATCAGTAACAAAAAGTGAAGAAAGTATAGCAGTTTCACTTAAGAAAAATGATACCTGTCTTACAGACCAGGAAACTGGCTCAAAGAAAATCTTCGGTTATGATTCAAATATTGGTGAAGATAAAGTGGAAAAGGAAAAACAAATAGAACTCATTGGTCCGGAAACAGTGTTGAAGATGCGCCCAAGTTCAGAAAACACAGTTTCGTGTGATCCGATTAAAGCTCACAGCTCCGGTGAAGCTAGGCTTCCTTCTAAGAATATCAAGGATTTGCGGTTAACGTCGGGTGATGTCAGCATTGATCAGTTTTTGAGAAAAAGAGATGAACCTGAATCTGCTAGTTCTGATGTTAGTGAGCACGGCAGAATTCATTTGGAACCTTTAACTCCATCCGAGGTACTTGAGTATGAAGCCACAGAAATCTTTCAGAAAGGTAGTGGTGATCCTTCAGCCAAGACTGATGAAGTAGTGTCTGATCAAGCCGATGACGTTCCTAGAGGAAGTAGCCCTAACACAACAGGAACAGCAGCAGACCTGGCAGGTGACAGAGAAAGGAGGTGAGGTTGACGTGTCGTTCTGAGTTTTAGTGCATCAGCGGTAGGAGCGTTTGGAGCATGCTCACAGGTGCGCTCAGTGGTGCTGCTGTAGAGTTCAGAACTAGAAACATCCAGGGAGGTCATTCACACGCTTACGTATATGTTCAACCTAGATTGTTAAATGCATCAGTTCACCAATAATACCACCATTAGTATGGCTTTCTAAGACTTCTTTTTTTTTTAAATGAGTAGGATTTTAGTGAAGGTTCCATTTGCAATTTAACAGTCTCTAAGAAAACAGGACTTGGTTGCCAATATGAATTGAGTTACAAGAGTATTAATTATATTCATAAAGCTTTTGAAACTTCCATAAGTTCTAAGGTAAAAACCCTTATCACCTGTATATCCTTCTCAGTTAATTTAAGAAAGAGATTTGGAAACCTACGTTTTGGGAATGATTTTTTTAACATAATGGTAGATTGGCATTGTTAACAAAGGCATTACGTTGAGTATAATGCTGGTATATGAAGCTTGCTTAGAGTGCCGTTTTCAAAATGAGAATCTGGGTGAACATAAACTTAATTTTGGATTTAATACAACATTCCAGACTGTCTGAAGCATGTACACAGAATATTTGAATCTCTGTACCTCCACAGAAGTGTTAGCCTGCCAGGCTGTAAGCTTACCTTCATTAAACTTTCAGTGAAAGTGAACTTATTACAATATGAGTTTATATTTGTGCTTTTTCGTCAGTGTAAGCTGTGCAGAAATCCCTTGATGTACTAGTTGTATAAACCCATTGTTGAAACCCCTGTAGCTATTATGCTTTTAACATTGTTTTAATGATCTTCATTATAAATAAACCCATAAAAATGGTCTGGAAACCAAACCAAAGTATGGTATAATGTAAAAACTGTAAAGCAGTACACTGAAAACATGTCCTGGCATATATTCAGCCATGTTTAAGTGAGTTTAATTGTAAAATAGAAATTTCAAATGGGACCTAAAGCAGTGATGTAAAAATTCATTTTGGGAATTTAGCCTAATTTATCCACAGGATGGCTGCTAAATTCAGTTGTTTTTTTATCATCTAGAAAATAATAGATATAGAAATGAATAATGTGAATAACAGTAGTTTGCTTTGAAGTACTAATAAACTTTTATTTAAAATGCTGCATTTTTCTTAAATATGCTTTGAATTCTTAGATTTGTTTCACTGAATGTTAAATGTTTTAAACAGCTATTGAAATTCTGCTGTAAATAGTAGTTTTTGAGTAAATATTTGCAATAAAAATCTGTCTCTTGAATAATTTTGTTTTTCAGATCACTGCTTGAGTCAGATTACCTTTGGCGCCTTTAGAAATTGTATACTTGTTCTAAGAAATGTTAAACTTAGTAGTAAGATGTTATTCTATGTTCTTTAACTGCTACATGCTTTATTATTTTAAACTAGGCCTTAAAAATACAGTGGACAATACTGCTAATATTTAGAGCAAACAGATTTGCTTTATGAATTCTTCACTTCAAGCAAAATGTAGTTTATAGTTTTCTATCTGATAGGCAACTTAAAGGGGCTAAATAGGTAACATATAAATATTGAATTCTTTTCTTGAAGGTCTTCAAATATATATGCATATATTTTGGGGGAGGGACAAATATTGTCATGTTTCTTGCTCCAAAGAAAAGATAAGGAGAGAGGGACCAATTAGCTGTCACCTTGAAACACAAGTCTATAGCAGGGGAGATTGTTTGGAGTAATTCTAAACCTTAGAAGGATAGGAAGTAGAAAAGACCACTGTGTGTATATAAAGACCACTCTCCGAGTCACATTCAGTTTGTCGTCAAACCTATCACCGAATGCTGCAGAACCTTAGAACACAGTGCCAAGTCAGTCTCTAAGCAACACTGCGATCCCTTCTGAGCTGTGTGTAGCTCCTTCTCCTGCCCCCATATAGCCTTTTAAAGTAGTGATATGCAGAGTAGCTGATCGGTGAACTGTTTGTTACCTATCCACTATAAGAAAAGGAACCTGTACCAGATTATAAGGCCCGCATGGAGAAAGTCTAGCAAAGAAAAAAAGTAAATAAATAAAATGGTACTTGAACTGAAATACTGTGCTTGTAGCATACTTGGTTTCCCTTCTCACAGAATCTCCTCATCACTGATCAGGAACCATTAATTTGGGTATACAAACCAAATCTTTGAGTAGCAGTGCTTTGATAAACAAACCAAACCCATTGCCACAGAGTGGATTCCAACTCACAGTGAGCCTGTAGGACGGTTTCCAGGGAGCAGCTGGTGGATTTGAACTGCCGACCTTTTGGTTAGCAGCCACGCTGTTAACCACTGTGCTGCCAGGGTACTCTGTGTCACAATTACTCAACTCTGCCTTACAGCGTGAACGCAGCCGTAGACAATAGGTAAATGAGTGCAAATGTTTGTCTTCCAGTAAAACCTTATTTACAAAAACAGGTCATTGCTGGATTTGCCCCATGGACCTTGGTTTGCCTACCCCTGCTTTAGAGTGCTCAGACCCCTTCGTTACGGATATGAAAGCCAGTGAGTGATGCAGCCCAGTGACGACTGGCCAGCAGCCACCACAAGGCCTCGGTGCACTGTAAGTTCCTGCTACCTAAAAACAGAACTGTGATTGGCCAGTTTTCAGAAGTAGATTGCCAGGGCCTTTTTCCTAGTCTGTCATAGTTTGAAAGCTCTGCTGAAACCTGTCCACCATGGTTGACTCTGTTGGTACGTGAAATATTGATGGCATAGCTTCCAGCATCAGAGCAACGTGCAAGCCGCCGCAGTGTGACGAACTGATAGATGTGTGGTGGATCTTTTATGTAGATGTATTACAATTTTTATAACCATTTTCTTATTTTCACTATAATAAACACTGTAGTGAACCTCTTAGTTCATAAACTTTGGTCCACATATTTTATTATCTGTACTAGAATGTTAAGAGTGCAGTTTATTGGACTGAAGGGTGCATTGGTTTCCTATGACTGCTGTAATAAAATACCATAAGGTGGGCAACTTACAAGAACAGAAACGTATTGTCTCACAGCTCTGGAGCCTGGAAGTCTGAGATCAGAGTGTCAGCCATGTTGATTTTTCTAAGGGCTCTAAGAAAATGTTCCATGCCTCTCTCCTAGTTTTTGGTGGCTTCCAGAAATCCTTGGCATTCCTCAGCTTGCAGCTGCATCTGCTTCCGTCATTACATGGCCATCTTTCCTCTGTCTCTCTGTATCTTCTCATCAGTCATACAGGATTAGGACTCACCCTACACTGGTACGACTTCATGTTAACAGATAACATCTTCAAAGACACTATTTCCAAACAGGATCACTGTGGGATAAAGAATTTAACATTACTCAAAGAATTTGTCTCAGGAGAGGGGGGTATGGTTCAGTCAATCAGTCATGCCTACATAATGAGGCCTTAGTAAAGGCTCTGGACATGGAAGCTCCATGGGCTTCCTGGTTGGTGAAAGACATCAGTGTACATGGGAGGGTGGCACGTCCCTTAGTACATGGAAGCTCTGCATTGGGAACCCTCCCAGACCTCACCCTATGCGTCTCTTCATTTGTATGCATTTTGCTGTAATAAAACTGTAAGAAGTAAGTATAGTGCAACACTAAAAGAAGGACTTTGAGCAACAAAGCGTAATTAAGAATATGGCCATCACAAAAACCAAAACCTGTTGCCGTCGAGTCAGTTCTGACTCACAGCAACCCTATAGGACAGAGTAGAACTGCCCCATATGGTTTTCAAGGCTGTAAGCTTTACACACGCAGACTGCCACATCTTTCTCCCATGGAGTGACTGGTGGATTCGGATTGCTGACTTTTTGGTGAGCAGCTGAGCACTTTAACCACTGCGCCAGCAGGGCTCCTTATGACCATCACACTAATTGTTAAACCTTTTAACTTGGTTAAGGAGATTAAGAGAGACCTCGTATTGTTTCCATGTGGGAATTCTTCCCTGGCATTTCTTGGGAAGTTTATGTATTTTTCCGAAGTTCAAGGAAAATCAGTTAAATTGGTAAACCAAACTAAACCTGTTGCCTTTGAGTCGATTGTGACTCAGCAATCCTGTAGGACACGGTAGAACTGCCCCGTAGGATTTCCAAGGCTGTAATCTTCGCGAAGCAGACTGCCACATCTTTCTCCCACAGAGCAGCTGGTGAGTTCAAACCACCAGCCTTTCAATTAGCAGCCAAGCGCTTAACCACTGCACCACCAAGGCTCCTAAGAAATTAGTAAGACAGGAAAAATGATTGTAACTCTCCTGTGAGAATTAAGGCTTACTAATCAACTTAGAGCCATTTTTGGTTTCAAGGAACGCGCTAAAGTCAAGCCTAATGCAAGGGTAGTGAATGCTGACACGTGGAGGGCAAGGGCCAGGCCAACATTTCCACAACAGAAGGGTGTAGGGTAGTGAATACTGCACGTGGAGGGCAA